AACGAGAAAGATTGGAAGTTTTTTGCAAAAAAAAAATATTTGATAGATATAATGTCGTATAAATCTTTGGTCTTTTTTTCTTTTCATCATTTTTTTGTCTTTGTTTCAAAATTTATCTTTAATTTTCTTTTTGTATTTATCTCTGAAATACTTACCTTCATTGTATGTTCGTATCTTTGTATCTTTGTATTTTAAACCAATAAAGATTTACCCCCCAAAAAGGAACAATTTGCTTTACAAACTCCGCAAAACTGGAAATTGTGTCTTGGTTTGAGAACTTTACCTCGGTCTAAGAACAGAATCCGTATGGTGGAAGGGCACCGGCTGCAGGAGGCCTCATTAGGGAAAGCGTGCCTCAGTTTAAGAACGGTTTTAGTTTAAGAATGGCCTTCCAGAACGGATTAAGTTCGTAAACTGAGGTACCACCTTGCCTTGTTTTTCTGTGGATTGCTTTTATGCACATTGCTTGGAAATGCAAATGATTAAGCAGGATATAGAGGCCTTAAACAAACAAACGAACAAACAAACAGGCACCACTCTGTTTATTTCGAGATGCAAGCCTATGAATGCCACATTTCACCAGAATCTGTGCAATATCCTATGCTTCCCAATCGTTGTATTTCTAAAGCAATTGGCATATAGTGAGTGGAGCAGTTTATAAGGTAATGATGGACGGCTGTTTCCTCATGTAAACAAATGGCCCTATCTTCATCTTTGCCTCCCAGGGAATCAATTCACAGGTGGTTTGGCAGATTGAAGCATCCTTAAAGGCAAGGTGGGAAAAAAATATATATCTCTGCGTAAACTGGAAGCTTGTTGAAACTTTATACGACATTGTCTTTGCAACCAGATGTAATGTCAAAGTCCCTGTATGGTTGTTCTCAAGCCATAATAACAATTCTGGTAACAAGCAACTGGCTGCTTCACAATCCCATTATCAGAGAACTGGAACTGGAGCCACAATGTTCAAATTAATCAATGGCATCATCATCTCCTTGGAATTAATAGAGGGTTTTAGGGAACGGGGGGGGGGGGGAGCAGAATTACTTAGAAAGAGATTTCCCCTTCTGAGAGCAAAACGCTACAGACTTTTGTTGCTTGAGACTATTGCCACTGTCTGTTGTTTCACTGCTGAAAACTTCTGTAGATCAGTCAATAGAAGAACCATAGTTGGAGTGAATGTTTCTGCTTCATTATATCCTAGTCTGTTTCCAGTCTGGAATCCTGTTTGTGTACTTGGTACTGCAATCTTGCTCTGAGCCCTGCGGGTGGGATAGACCAGCACTCTGATCAGGGCAACAATGCATGTCTAAAAAGGTAAAGGTACCCCTGACCATTAGGTCCAGTCGTGGCCGACTCTGGGGTTGCGGCGCTCATCTCGCTTTATTGGCTGAGGGAGCCGGCGTACAGCTTCCGGGTCATGTGGCCAGCATGACTAAGCCGCTTCTGGCAAACCAGAGCAGCGCACGGAAACACCGTTTACCTTCCCACCGGAGTGGTACCTATTTATCTACTTGCACTTTGACGTGCTTTTGAACTGCTAGGTTGGCAGGAGCAGGAACTGAGCAACGGGAGCCCACACCATCGCGGGGATTCGAACCACCGACCTTCTGATCGGCAAGTCCTAGGCTCTGTGGTTTAACCCACAGCGCCACCCGCGTCCCTCAGCAGTAAACTCCATCCAGTTCAGTGGGGCTTACTCTGAGTTAAGCATGCAGGATGACTACCCAAACACTGTAAATACAACCCTTGGGGATGTTTCTAATTTCATAAAATAGGGTTAATATGTAGGAACCAAAGATCAGGGGCACATGCAAGTCCTGCAAATTCTTGTTAATTCTGTTTCTCATCAGATGCGAAGCTAACAGATGAAAGGTTTTTTTAAAAAAATGTGTTTACAAACACTTGGTCAGATTTGATTAAACCACAGTGCCGAGACTAAACAAAAAGCAATCTGTAACGCAGACCCATGTCACGGAGATATCCTTGAAGCATTGCCTATTTGGAGTGGACAGCACATGAAGCTTACCATTCACTACCATTGATCCCATTAGTTTAATGCCCGTATAACAATGTGACCAAGTGTATGCAAAGAATGGCTATAGGGCTGGAGGGCGAGGTTGACTGGGATCCCCATGCGAAATAAGTCCAAGAGCCAGACTGATGTAGTGCATACTGGTTGGACCTGGGTTCAAATTCCTGTTCAGTCCTGGAGCTCATTGGGTGACGTCCTTGGGCTACTCCTAACCTGCCTCACCAGATTGTTGTGAAGATAAACCCTGTTGCCACGAGCTTTAGGTGATAGACTGAGGAATACCTATGCCTTGTGAAACAGCTGCATGAAACACAGTCCAGACTAGAATTATGCATGTTCTGTGATACTGTGCATGTAGTTAAATGCTCTCTTTACTTGTGAACATGTAAATAAAATAAAGGCAATTTTAATTCAATAAGTTTTATACATAGGGGTTTCATTGCACTTCACTCTGTTTGATTGTGGCCATTGCATTTACCATTATTACCTATCTAAAAAGTAACACTTCTCTTTAAGCTACAATATCATAATTGTTGGGGAAAATAAACAAAAGAAATGTTCACATTACACTATGCATGTGTTTTGATCTTTTTCTAGTCTTTTAAATAATATTTTATACTTTAGCAGAGCAGCTTGGAAAATTTGGCAGGAAAAACGGCAAGGGCCATGTGAATTCAAGGAATTGTAGTTTTGGAAGGTACCCCAACCAATGGCCATCTAGTCCAACCCTGAAATGGAATCAGTTTCTGTTTCGGAGGGGGTGAAATGGAACTGGAATGAATTCCTTTTTACAATGAACTTTCCAAGCACTGGGTCCACAAGATGGAGGATGCCAACCGTTGATGGAGACATTCACTCCTTTCCAGAAGCAAATCTGTATTATTATATTATTATTATTATTATTATTATTATTATTATTATTATTATTCCCCTTTCCCCCCAGATGGGACTCAATGCAGCTTACAGATAAAAATAAGAACTGCCGAAAACAATCATTAAAAAGCAATTAAACGTTGATAGAATTAAAACTATAAGCATCTATAAAATCTATTAAAACCACACCAGTACGGTAATTCCAATAGAAACAGCACACCACCAGCCCTTTCGATTGAAAGCAGTCAGTTCCCCAAAGCCTTTCGGAACACAAAAGTCTTCGCCTGCTGGTGGAAGGGCAGCAAACAGGGAGCCAGTCTAGTTTTTCCAGGGAGGAAGTTCTAAAGTCTAAGAGAGCAATCACCGAAAGGTCTGCACAGATATGAAAGCAGCACCTTCCCTCATCTTGCAAAAGTGGGCATGTGATTTAGCTCTGCCTCTCAAGGAGGGGATGCTATTTGACAAAAATCTGTTTCTCTGGGAGGTCAGCCCATGAAAGAGCTTCAACAATTCAGGAAACTGATCTTTCACTCTGTGAGCTTCCTCGGGCATTCTGGCTGTTTAGTTAGCTTGAGTGCTGCCTGGAAAAAATATACACAAGATTCCTTTTATGACGTTTGTGGTTGCAAAAGAGTTGCACAGACGTTGGTACATATCAAAGCATTGTTTTATAGCAGCCATTCAGGATCTCACTTTATGTTTGTAGGGGGCGGGTTAGTTGTTATTGTCTTGCGGTTAAGCTTATGTGGGTTTAGATTTGACTTGACTTTAGAGTTTATGTGTACATATGGGAATGAAAAATGCCAATGTATAGTGAAAACTGCCCTGTTTACTCATACCTTCCCAACAAGGCTAAGATGCAAACAACATCATGATGAGCGAAGGGGTCTAAACAGTATTGAATTTGAATTTCTATGGTTACTCACCTTGGGACCCTTCAAACAAGGTGCAAAAGAATTTCAGTTAATAATATAAAATGAGAACTACTTGGAAGTCCATGCCCTTTCATCTGGAAACCCTTTGCCTTAGAAGACTACATCATCTTTGCTGGTCATGGTTGCTACATGGAAAAGGAGATGCACTCAGTACCTGTTGAATGGCACTCATCTTATGCAGGCCTGCACAATATTTTACCCACCAAACTGAATGCAGACCATCATCCATGTATAGGATTGCACCCCAGAATGCTAAATCAAGAGGACACCCAGACCGGTTTGTTGAGCTTTCATGCTGATTTGTTTGCAGGGAGATTATATGACATTGATATTTATTCTGATTTGTCTGTGGGGCAGTTAGATGATGCTGCATCAAGCCAGGTGTTATCCCACATTTTCCAGTCCATTTTCTCATCACTTTCCTTATTGCAAAAGGTCCCGTCTTCTGGGCTTGTGCTAAACTTCCCAGTCAATTATATTTGCATCTCCTGAAATTGCTGGTATGAGATTGAATCCCATGCCACAAAACAGTGACATTCTGAAAGTATCCCCAGACTCAGAAGAACAGGTAAGGTGGTGCAGGAAGGTGACTAAATTCCACCGCAGGCAAAATCTAACCCCCTGGCTTTCCTGGAAGGAAAAAAACAAAAGCGTTTTTGTGGCAATGGGTTTATCACTGATCTTTCCCCTTTTTGTTCTTCCACTTCCAAGTCTCCCACGTGCAAACACTCGCAGCTGTCTGAGGGAAGGTTTTAGTATGGCCTCATTATTGCAGGCTGGCTGCATCACACATAATACCTTTATGAGGTTTCCAACACACACACACACCCTTTTTATTGCTGCTACAAAGTTATAACCAGATGACGCAGCTTTTTGTCACCTAATGTGCTGTTAAACTACTCTTCAAAGCTTCCAAGCCGCACCAAACTCTCCAATATTGTCCTGGCTCCCGCCCAGACCACGATGACCGAGGCTCTTCCTTGAGAGTAAGGAAGAGATTTTTATTGAGGCAGAGAAGAGCTATAGGCTCAACAGCAGGTAATGTACTGCAACAGCTGCTACAGTCAGGCTAAATGACAGGAAAGGTGAGTCTAACTGGATTGGGAGCAGCGGTCCAAGTTTAAGGAGTCCCTGATCAGGGCATGGAGTTCAGAACTGCATGGATAGTTCAATTGGTTAGAGTGTGGTGCTGATAATGCCAAGGTTGCAAGTTTGATCAACTGCATATTATTGCAGGAGTTGGACTGGATGATCCTCAGGGTCCCTTCCAACTCTACATTTCTATGATTCTATTGAAGCAATGGAGTTGTCCCAATGAGTGGTCATGTCCACCCACCAAGTTCTTAAAGCTCATTCATGAGACTCTCATGCCTTGCAAGCCTGTCACACATGCAGATGCTCGCTACAATGGGGACAATGTGTCTGTTCCTGGGTGACCAGGGTATCCCCTTCAGGCTCCTGTCCCTCCACCCTTAGCCGTTGGCTTAGGACCCCTTTGGATCCTGTTGCGGCACTCCTTTCCCCTAGAAGGAAGAGGAGAAATGGGAGTGCAGTTTCCCCAGCTGAGGCAGCCAAATCCTGGAAGAGGGAAGTGCCCCCTTGCCAATGGCCAAGGATGATGGGAGTTGTAGTTCAACATCCAGAGGGCCAAAGGTCCCCCAACCTGCCATGCTGGTTGCGGAGGAAAGGACTTTCCTTCCTGTATGCTTGAAGGAGCATCTCCACTCCCATTGTTCAGCCCAGACACTGAGGCCCAGCTCCAAGGGCCTTCTGGTGGAGGGCAGAGGGCCTTCTCAGTAGTGGCTCCCGCCCTGTGGAACACCCTCCTCTCAGGTGTCAAGGAAATAAACAACTATCTGACTTTTAGAAGACATCTGAAGGAAGTTTTTAATGTTTGATACTTTGCTGTGTTTGATGTTTTAATTTGCTGGAAGCTGCCCAGAGTGGCTGGGGCAACCCAGTCAGATGGGCAGCATATAAATAAAAAATAATTATCATTATCATTATTCCTCTGCGGCAAGCATGGAAATGAAGAGAGCTGATGGAGGAGGGATGGAATAATCTGCTGCTGCCCCTCCACCTGCCTGGATAGTAGCTTGCACAGAATTATTTGATGGACTCGCCTGCATGAGACTCCTGGCCACTCACTGCTATCAGGCAAGTTGTTAATTCAGGGGTGTGGAACCATTTTCCAGGCCGAGGGACACATTCTCTTCTGCACAACCTTCCAGGGGTCACAAGCTAGTCATAGACTGCCTCTCCTTATATAAACTGTCCCAGACTCTGTGTTCATCATCTGTCTTTATGTGCCCCCTCTACATGAGGTCAGGAGAGCAGGCCTTCTCTGCAGTGGCTCCCCATTTATGGAATGCTCTCCCCAGGGAGGTTCGCCTGGCACCTTCATTATATATTTTTAGGCGCCAGGCAAAAATGTTCCTCTTTTACTAGGCCTTTGGCTGATTAATATTCTACAGCATTTTGAATGTGTCTGTGGGAAGGGGAGGCGTGTTATTGTTTTGCCGTTTGGTTTTAATGATTTACTTGTTTTTATCCTGTATTTTGGGACGCGGGTGGCGCTTTGGGTAAAACCTCAGCGCCTAGGACTTGCCAATCGTCAGGTCGGCGGTTCGAATCCCCGCGGCGGGGTGCGCTCCCGTTGCTCGGTCCCAGCGCCTGCCAACCTAGCAGTTCGAAAGCACCCCCAGGTGCAAGTAGATAAATAGGGACCGCTTACTAGCAGGAAGGTAAACGGCGTTTCCGTGTGCTGCGCTGGCTCGCCAGATGCAACTTGTCATGCTGGCCATGTGACCTGGAAGTGTCTGCGGACAGCGCTGGCCCCCAGCCTCTTAAGTGAGATGGGCGCACAACCCTAGAGTCGGACACAACTGGCCCGTACGGGCAGGGGTACCTTTACCTTTACCTTTATCCTGTATTTTATTCTGTGAAATGCCCTGAGATCTTATAATGAAGGCAGGTATATAAATCTTAAGAAAATAATAATAAATAAATAAGTGGGCAGAGCCGTCAGTGCAGATTTTAACCTTTCTACAAAAGGCTAGTTTCTTCATACTTAAGCACTCCCTCTCTGTCAAGGGCCCATTCCAGCCAGGCAAAAACATCCAAGGAGGCTGCAAAGCCAGGCCAGTAGAAGGGTTGGCTGGGGAGGGGGGTGGAGTGGCCTGCAGAGAGCCCTGGGGGCCAGATAAGAGAGGTCTAGACATTAAGATCTTAGGCCTAAGGTTCCTCACCCTTCTATTAAAGACAAGCCTGCAACAATGGTCAGATGCGTAAGGTGGGATGGAAGAACTGGGTGTAGGATCTAGGTGATGACAAGGGATATCTTGACCTTGCCTAACTTTGCAAATGTGGCTGATTTCCACAGAGCCATTTGCTCACACTAATTCCAGTGTCGCACTGCCAGCGCCTTTTCGCCTTCATGTGCAAGTTTGTACACCCAGACGGGATACAGCAGCAAACTTTCGCTTTGATGTCCAGCCTGCCCAATATGTATTTAAATATTTAGCCAGGCAATAAACTGCCACATAAATGTTGATATTCACGTACATCCACCTCAGAAAAGCGCTTACTTTTGAAGGGGAATATTGCTAAAAAAAATCTCCCCCGCCTGTCAAAAGCTGTTTACTGCCGACTCTTAAGTATGAAGGGAAGCAGCCCAGTTGATAGTAAATTATATTATTTCTTCCTCCTCCTGTTATTTTTCCTCTGATGTCCTTGCTCTGTTTGGCTTTAACCCGTTGCAGAAGATGTTTACATAAAGCAGGAAAAAATAAATGGTCCAAATTAGACAAATATGAGGAGTAACGCCTGTCCGAGGCCAGGCCAGGAGGGAGGCTGAGGCTTCCAAATCAAAGCATATGGCGTCCAAGCCTGCATCGTGAAGAAGCTGGAGTTGACTAAACCGCACAAAGTGTTCTGTACACACAGAGACGATTACAAATGACTGCACTGTGTTGGGCGAAGGATGGCTTTGCAGCTGGGTGTGTTTAATGCCTCTCATTTACGCATGCCTGACACTCGGCCAAGGATTCCTATATGCACCAAGCTGTCGGTCCCTCGCAGGTCACGTGGCTGCCTGTGGACGGATGATTCACGTGGGAAGCCTTGAAAGCCCAGCGCAGTTAAACAAACAGGCCCATGTGTCTAGTCATTAAGATGTGCTTGTGAAACATGATTCTGGCATGACCGACACTAAATGGAGCTTTAAATCTGCCCTCGGTTCCTCTTTCCGCCGTTCCATGCTGCTTTCTCGGGCCGAAAGAATTGTTCTTCCACAGAATGCTTTGGGGTTTCAAATCGTCTCTCTTAGAACACCACAAAGCTCCCACTGTGGTATTCAGTGACATCATTCGCACACATCCATGCCTTTTTGGGTGTTTTTTTTACTAGGCTTTCCAGGTGTTTCTCTACAGGGGTTTGGTTCAGACATTCAGACAAGTCTGCAGGCAAAGACTGTCTTGGTTTAATTGAATGTGGGGGACCACATTAGGGGCTGGTGAGTCAGTCACAAATGCTGTCGGTATCATAAGTAAGAAATACAGTACATATCGCTCTTTTCACAACGTTTCCTCCCGTCCTGGTTTTAAATTATTTTTGCTGTTGTGCTCATAGCATGCTGGTTTTGGGTTGTTGCTGGGGGTTTTCCTGTTTGCTGTTGTGTAAAAAATGGTTTGGTGCTTTACTGTTTTCGGTTTGGAATGTGTTTGTGTGTTTTCATGTCTCCATAAACCACCCAGAGAACTTATGAGAGAGGGAAAGAACTTCTGTATCCACATTCTCCACACAATGCACGATTCCATCATGACTCCTCTGATTCACCTTTTCTTTCAGCGGAAAAGCCCCCAGTGTAGAAGAAACCTTCATAGGGAACTCACCGCTTCCTCTGTCTTGATGCTTCTGCCTGTCCATCCTTCCACCAGCAGGTGGCAGTGTAGGGAATCAGACCTGACTCATGGGATTCCTACCTTGTTGCGATTCTTGCATTGCAGGGGGTTGGACTAGATGACCCTAGGGATCCCTTCTAACGCTACAGTTCCACGATTCTATCTAAACTGCAAACAAATACCATATAGAGTAGGGCTGCCATACATCTGGATTTTCCTGGACATTCCTGGGATTTCAAAGGTGGAATTGAATTTCCAAAAGGCGGTGCTTTGTCCTGGATCTTAGGCAAGTCAATCGGAAAATCACATTTTTGGGGGGCATTTTTGTAAAAAAAAAAAGCAGCTCAACAATTTTCGGCATGTCCTGGTTTTTACTTCTTGAAATATGGCAACCCTCATTTAGTATTGGTCTCTGGCATCATCATTCCCTCTATTTCTGATGCTTAGACATGCTGTTGCTTACATGGCCAAAAGAGCACCAGGCACACCCACCCGCCAGGGAAATATCAGCAGGCTCAGGGGAGCCGTAAGATGCAGAAGTAGGGCTGTAGTTCAGTGGTAGAGCATCTAGGTCCTAGGTCAGGCATCCCCAAACTCGGCCCTCCAGATGTTTTGAGACTACAATTCCCATCATCCCTGACCACTGGTCCTGTTAGCTAGGGATGATGGGAGTTGTAGTCCCAAAACATCTGGAGGGCTGAGTTTGGGGATGCCTGTCCTAGGTTCAATCCCTGGTATCTCCTAGGAGGGCTGGGAGAAGCTCCTGCCTGAAAGCCTGGGCTGCTGCTGCCAGTCTGTGTAGACAATACTGAGCAAGATAGACCAATGTTCTGACTCAGTATATGGCAGCTTCCTATATTCTGAATTCCTTCTGATGCACCCGGAATAGCGCATTCATCAGCAGTGTCCGGGCAGAAATCAGCCAAATGTCCGGGGAAGAAGCTCAACAACTTTGCCAAAAAAAAACCTCAACATCCTTTTTCTCCGGATCTTCACTGTTTGAAATATGGCAACCTTAGCATTCATTTGCACGATGCTGAAATGGAACGTTAATGCAAGGAGCTATGGCTTTCTATGCAAGTTCTCCTCACATGCATGGGAGTTCGGCTGTAAAACATTTATTGAGAGGTCTCTAAAGAAAAAACCATCAGGCTCTCTGTCAAATACCCATTTTAGATAGTGTTTCTTGTTGAGCCCCAGGTTTTTAAATGCTCCGTTCCCCTGTCTTTGTCAATGCATAGGTCGGAACAGCTGCCTGGATACTTGGAAAGTGAGCAAATTTTATGGATTAATATTTGCAGGGAGGGATATTTCAGTTTTATATATAAATATTG